TGAACCTGCCAGAGAAATTCTTTTAACTATGCCTTGTAAAGTTTGTTCCTTCCCAAAGAACACGGCAGGTGACCGGTGTTGGGAACGAACCCCCCATAAAGGTGTTTTGATGCAGTTTGATGGCACGTGTATGTGCTCTGCACTGAGATCCTGTCCCCAAAATCCAGGTAGACCTTTCTCAGCTGGGGCTCTGAGAACTCTCTGGGGAGTTATAACTTTAGTGCTCATTTCACAGGAGCTTTTATAGCCCAAGAGTCAAGGCCAAGGCCATAAAACGCTGCTCAAGCCCTGAGCTGCCTCGAGCTGCTGGATGCTCGTATCTGCAGGTCTGTTCGGAGCCAGGTCTACAAAGTCCTCTTCAGCAGAAGCCTGTTTTAAACCTTGGCTTGCACTAAAGACAGCCCCTTAGCTTAATTTACTTAAATGTTCCCCTTAAACTGACATAATTTATAATTGCTCTGCTCAAACTCATGGCTCATCCACTCTTAATTTACTCTGCCTACTTGCAGGCGAGCGAGTTATAGCAGCCCTCAGCACATCCGCACTCCTGCCACACTTTGATAGCTCCAATTTAACTTATTACTATGCAGACGCACATTAGATTCAAGTTTACCTGAATGAGGGCTTTATCCAGATCCTGCAGGAGCTAATAGGGAAGATATTTCAGTATATTCAGTGTGGCTTTTATCTCCGGGAAAAAGAAAAAAAAAAAAAAAAAGGAAAAAAAAAAAGGATCTTGCTCAAATAAGAATAAAACTTCTACCAGAATGAGTATAAGAGTATTCCTTTGTTTCACCTAACCATTCAGTAAAAGCCCCCACTCAACACCTTCTTGTATTATTTCTAGCATTCACTACATAGCCTATTATTAGAAGAGCCATGGACCTGTGCTGTTAATAATGATCTCTGGCACTTTTTAATGCTATTTTTTTCCTCCTCTCTCCACGTTTTCTTCAACAATAGCTGACTAGGTGCCCTCCTATCTTTTTATCTCTGGTTTAATCTATTTGCTCTCGTCTTCCCGTGGCACAGCACACGATGTTTCTCCAGCACACCCTGCTCAGGAGCAGGCACTGGTTGCTATTTCATGATTCACCCACCGCAGCCTCTGGCTTCCCACCTCTTCAGCTTCCCCTGGGTAGGGGAGAGCCAAGGTCAGCCAGATGCAAATGACGTATTTGAAGCTGAAGTGTGACTGGGGAGGGGGGGGTGTTTTGCTTGATGAGCAGAAGATGAGAGAAAGGTCTTGGCTGTGCCTCATTTATTAAATCACCCTCGGTTCTGCAGGGAAAATTAAGGACAGAGCAATGATGTACCTCTGACCAGCTTCCCGCTGTCATCGTTACTGTCATTAAGGCAAAGACAGGCACATCCTCTTAGCCTGACTCCTGCTGTGATGAAAACATTGCAAAAAATAATAATAATAAAGCTGGGATTTTCGTCACATGAGCTCTGCTTTTCCAGCCCTCATACAAAGGGGGCAAAGAAACGAGAAGGATCCCCAAATTCTCCAAAATACCATTAACATTTTCTTTTTTTTCTGTATAAGCTGTGGTAACCTAAGCGAAGCAGGTTGGCTTTTCACAACCCTTCCCTACAGACATCTCACAGGGGTGCCTGATCACACTGCCCGAGCACCCCAAAGCAACACCCTGTGATGCAGCAGGCCCAGCCCCAAATCCACAAATCCCGAGGAGCTGCTGCCGTCCCACCAAGCCTGTGTGCCTCCAGCAGGCACCTTTTTGCCAATCTGAGCCAGATCTTCCCCAAACTGAAGTGGTCGATTTGTCATGGAAATGGAGGATAACCATATTCCTGTCCTTGCAAGGCGAGTTGTCACTTCACACCTATAACATCAAGGCTTTTTCCCACCAAAGTTGTCCAAGCACATGGGCAGCTTAAAGGCATCTCCATAAAATGGGATGGACCCAAGAGAGCTGCTCGGCCCCTTGCAAGAGCTGGCTGAGGCAGGCAGCAGAGAATTAATTGATATGCATGTAACTGACACATAACAGCCACAAGGCAAGTGGGAAGTTGAATCCAGAGAATAAAATGAATAAAAGAAAAAAAAACCATCAAATAATAAAAGGTAAGGAAAGCACGTCACCCCAACGGGTTGGAAAATGAAGGAAAACAATTTAAAGAAACACGGGGAAAACAAAACACCAACAAAAAACCACCAGCAACTAACAAATAGCAAACATTTTGCCCAGAGCAGAAACAAGTCCAGGGAGACGATGAGAAAACAGCTGAGCACACGCTGCAAGCAACATGAGAAGTGAAGGGGGCTTGTGTGAGAGGGGAGCAAGAGGTAGAGGCAACCCGAGGCATGCCTCCACTTCTTTTCCTACATGCCTAACCCATTCCCTGTCCATTGTTTTTGTGGGTTTTGTGTTTTGTTTGGTTTATTCATAGTTTCTTGTATTGCAAGGTAGGAGTCAAGAAGCATAAGAGTAAAGGTGAGGAGAGGTGTGACTTATTAAGAATAATCCTGCATGGTACACAAGGCACAACCTTGTGCATCAGCAGGGCTGCACCTGAGAGATAGGGTATCTCAGAGATGACATTAAAAAAATAAAAAAAGTCTCAAAAAGCAGGTAAAACCTCCAAAAACCAGGAAGGTGAGAGCCAGTGGCTGGCATGGGGTCAATTTTCTGCCCACTGACTCAGCCCTTGGTGCTTGCAGCAGGTCAGGGCCACGCTGCGCTCCGAGGCTCTCGAGGCAGCAGCCTCGTCTCCAAGTGCTGAGGCTAACAATGCAAATAATCCCAAGCGGAGCTCACGTCTTTAATTGCCTCTTTCCCTCTTCCCAGGAAGCCCAGTCTCCCTGGTTACTACAAGCCCAATTTCCTTCCCCTCCCTGCCAAAGAACAAGCCCCCTCTTGGCGAGCGCTCCCGGGGTTACCTCACGCTCATCACACCCATGCTCGGAAGAAGGCAGCAAGTTCATTTGTCAGTAATTACACTGATTAACTTCCACAGCCGTCAAGTTCAAGAGCCCTGGAGTACCTCGGGTTACAAATGAGACTGCAGGAGGAAAAAGCTCCGCTGGATTATGCTGCGGATGCAGCGGTCCTGGCAAAGACACCCGGCTGCTCCTTGCCTGCCTTGTGCCAACATCCCAAAGTTGGGGCACTCACAGCCCGGCACCATTTGATCCACCATAAAAAACAACCCAGGATATTTGTAATTCTCCTCTCAAAGGCAGCATCTCAGGAAAACAAAGTGTTTGTTCCTCCCAGACCTAAAAGCGTAGCGCACTTACCAACAGCCCCAAAAATATATTTCTATTAAACATCTGCATTTTCCACGGAAAGGAGCACACCGAGCCTTTTTTTTTGTTCTCTTCAAAATCAACCCGAGCTCTTCAGAAAGGGCTGCCACCCCACCTTCTTATTTTTCCCCATTTGGTGGAACATTTGCTTTCTGTTGTTGTTTGTACCGGTGTATTTATACATCTGGCTGAGGCTGCTTAAAATAGTACGACGAGATACCAGGGTGGCAGGGCTGGCAAACTGCGCTCGTGCATCCAGCGTTTCTGTTGTTGGAAGCCTTAAACCCACCCCTCTGGTGGGATGAAATAGATGCTACTAATCCAATTTCTAAAATATCAGGCATCAAGCTGACACTATTTTAAGACCGAAAAAAGCCAGTTTAATCAAACCTCTGCTATTTTCTCCTTTTTTTTCTGTTTCACAATTTACAACGGCACAGAGGAGGGGGAGATTGTTTTGGGAACGATGTTTTCAGACCTCTAAAAATAATATAAAACTGCTCTGCCACATTCTGAGCTGTTACACCCACAGCCCTTATACACACTCCATCACCTCGTGCTCCTGTTTGCTCGAAGCACTGCAGAATAAGGTTTGTCCTTTTTCTTTTATTTGTCTTTTGTGTTTATTCGGCTGTACCACACTGTTTGTATTGCTGTGGGGACAGAGGTAACCAGAAGCCAGATGCAGGGTGGGGACAAAGCAGAAAATAAATTGTGAGTGGTGAATAATTATGTTATTATTTTAATTATAAGTATTATTATCATAATTATTTCAGCTGTTTTCATTACTGACTATGAGAAAACGCATTGGTGTTTCTAATACATGGAATTGGAAGCTGGCTGAAAGCACATCCCTGAGTCTGCGATCTGTGAGTGAGTCTTTGCATCCCTCCCAGGAGGATGGATTGGTTTGACACCCTCTGTTCTCCAGCTTTTCATGTGCCTTTGTCCCAGTGCTCATCCTGCACACTCTGACTCCATGCACAGAGCAGCGCTGGAGGCATCACAGGAGCTTTCAGACCCTGGGTCTAATCCTCCTTAAGGGAGGATTGTGCTTATCTGAGTGACTGGTGAGTAGAAAGGCAATCCAGGAATATGATTTCTCTGCACCCAACTTCATCCACTCACATGAACAATTGCATACAGGAACGAGGGAGCTGAAGGAACCCAAAATGCTTCACCGTATACAAATAAAGTCCTGTTTGTGGGCAGAAAAAAACTTGCAGGATAAAAACCTCCAGTGAAGAGCAGCCTGAGGGGACCCTGAGCTGTTTCACAGTGCTGGGGCTGAAGATGCTCAGGACTTTCCATGGATACTCAGCAGCCAAAAGGATTGGGCCTGAATCCACCTCAGGAGCCATCGGTGTTTCAGGGATGATTTATAACAAAGCAAGGTTGTGCAAGAGGCTTCCAGCAGGATCTAATGGTGTGCAGGAGCAGGGGAATGCCAGATCCAGCCACCCCACATGCCTCTTTCACCCCAACAGAGCTGCAGCTCGCTGCTGTTCATCACTTTTTATATTTCTCCTGTCAGGTTTATTTTGGAGCAGCTGGTAAATGTGGCTTTCACGCTGATCCCCCAGGAATCAGCCGTACACAGCCTGCAACACCCACACAGCTAGTACGGACAAACACCTCCTTTTTATTTTTATTTTTTTTAAAGAAACAACCAGTGAAGTTTACAACGCCAAACTCAAGGAAATGTAAACCAGGCCTGCCTTACCCAAAGTGACTTTTGGAAGGGTTTCTCTGCACCCCCAGCACAGGAGGGCTCAGGACCACCAGTACACTTGCAGCCCACACGGGCTGCAGCAGGAGGAGCCTGGCCCCAGCCCCATGTTCCTCATCAAATACAGAAACGTGGGTCAGCATAACAGGCAAAAACAGCAAGAAAAGTGAGACAGCATTAATCAGCTCAGCAAGCAGTGAGAGATTGCCACACCATCTGCCCCTCTGCTTTTATTAATCTTCGGCACTGTGACACGGACAAACCTGGGCTGTCATTTCCCCTTTGATTTTCTCGTGCTAGTTGCCATCCTCCAGCTTCATTTCCTGCTTATCTAGCTCACTGCCATTCAGCCTGAGCAGAAAGGATTTTCTCCTCTTTGCCAGGTGCCAGGACACCCACTTTATGGCCCTGTGAAGTGTGGCTTTCCACCAAAAAAGAGTCCTCACACCCACCTGGCTCAGCCACTATTTCCCACCCATGCAGCAACCTGGGCACCCTCTGTACAGAGCAGAAATCAACCCAAAACGAAAACATGGGTGGCAAAGGTTTGTTCCTGGATTATGTGTGACTTTTATTGGTAGGTTCAGGACTTCAACATTGTTCCCAACTAAGCTGCACAGATAATATTTCAGAGCAAATGAGATCAGCACAGCTCCTGGAACAAGAATCATCAGATCTGGTTATTCAGGCCATGCGAACTGCTGCTTTTTCACCTTTGTGCAAAGATAATTATTAGTCTGTCACTGACACGGCCAACTTCCTCGTGGGTCACCTCCCAGTCCTGGCTCCCAGCTGGTCCTTGGCAGCACAGGGTGGCGTGTGGCACTTCATCCCTGCTCTCCTGAGCCTTCTCCTCCCCTGATGTCTGCTGACAGGCTGTGTGGGCACTGCCTGACGAGCCGACAGCAGCAGCATTAAAGTGTCACCTTGTTGACACCGAGGTGCATGTCTCCATGTCACATCAAGTCCCACGCAGCCTCGCGAGGACGCGTGTGGCTGTGATTTTGGCACATGCGAATCTAGCCAGGGGCACCCAAGGGGTGAGGTGGGACCCATAGGATCCAGCCTGAGGTCAGGGCAGGAGCTGGGCTCTGCTTTTCTTCCACGTCACTGCTGCAGGGTAGCTCACGGGTGATAAATGCCCACTGGCCAGAGAAGAGCACCCATTCACTGCCAAGCCCCGCGTGCTGTTACCAAGAATAAATTGGAGGGTAAATGTTTGTTAGCACAAATGGTGCTGGGCAATGCCGTCCTCCATCCCTGTGTGGCAGGGAGGTGGCATCTGCTGGGGACAATGCTGTAGCTTAACACTGACTTAAATACTGGAAGATTAAATTCATTTGATTTTCTGTACAAGGCAGTGGACATTTCTCGGGATATTGAAATCAAAGGCTGGATTTTGCAACCATTGGACGAAATTTTATAAGATATCACTGGCAATCTCCTTTGCTTCACCTGTATACCATCACTGAACACACTCACAGGTGGGGCACTGTCTGCAGCTGAAAATAGGAGCTGGATGCACAGCAGCTCTCCATCCACCTCCTCTTGATGAGGAGTTCCTCCTCATTCCCAGCCTGAAGGACCAGCTATTCCCAGCCATCCTTCAGCAAACAGCTCTTTTAATGCTTAATTTGCTCTCTCCCCCTGGTATGCACCTGCAGACACAGGGTGCCAAGGCGCAGACACTTTCATGGCTGTGAGTTATGCCATTTCTCCATGCTATTTCCCTCCAAGATCACCACCTGATTTGGTTCTGGCTCCATACTTGGAGCCTTGATACCACAGAGTCAACAGCAGCTTTCCTATCAATTTCCAGAGGCTTTGGATGGAGGCCATAGAAAAGAAAAATACAGCAAAGAAATTCCAAGCAGAGGCTCTAGGAAAGTTAATAAAATGCCTCATGCCTGTGCTTGCTGCAGGGAAGGATCAGCTTTCCTGTTTAGTGCTGCTTATTAAGTCATTACAAACAATTAAAGCAGCAGAGAGGAGGAAGACAGAGCTGTCGTCCCCAGCTCCCCAGCCTGCCTCTCTGCCCCCGGCATGAATTTCATGAGACACAAATCTCCCAGCGGGAACCTCTCAGCAATTGATTTCCTGCTTGTGAAATCCAGCAGGAAGACATCCCGGTTTTCCTGACAAAAAAAAAAAAAAATAGAGATGAAAGGGGAAAATATGCCTCGATTTATTCTTTCCAAGCAGCACAGCTGCGGTGACAAACCTGCCCAGCCAGGAGGCCCCGGCAGGAACAAACCACGGCACCCACGGGACCCCAGAGGGCAGGAGCTGATCCAAGCACATCTTTTCTCTGCCATTTCCCCCAAACAGGTGATCTCCCAGCCCGTTTTTCTCTTCAGCTATTCCACCTCCCTCAAAAGCTGCGTGCCTGGGATTGCTTGGGCGCGAGTCAACAGCTCCATCACAGCGCAGAGCCTCGGGAAGCAGCAATTTGAGCAAAACACCCAACAGCCGAGACAACGCAGAGCCACTTATCAACCCATTCCGACATCTCCTGGACTCACTCGAATGCTCAAGAGAGTGAAAAGAGCCGACCTGTTTTCTAAGAACAGGCTGCACGACGGCAACAGAGCAGCCTGGGATGCGCAGCGGCGATAAAAGCCCGGTGCACGGGGAAGGAGCCGGCACAGCAGCACATCAGAGCAGCTCCATTACTGACAATGCTGCCAGCTCGATAGCTGCTGGCTTGCCATTTGGGTCACTTTTGTTGCTTTTACCTTAACTGTGTGTCTCACGCACCGTAATTGTGTTTTCCCTCCCTGCGACCACATGAAAAGCATCTGCCGATTGCCTGTTTTTCTCCTACCTTATGTTTTCCTCCCTATAAAATGGGTAAAATTCAGCTTGCTTTCACACTGGAAACAAGCCCATAATCTTCTCTGTGGATTTCAATACAGACAAAATGATGAAGTTTCCATTATTCAGGTGCCCCAGGGCAGCAAGGAAAGGAAATGCAGGGACGGGAACACCAGGAGCAGCAGCCCCACAGAGCAGCACCGTGGAAAACGCAGGGTGATAAAAAGCCCCAAGGCTTATTTTCCTTCATCACTATAGAGTGAGAGACCAGAAATAATTATTGAGGGAAGCCTTAGTGCCTGTCCCCAGACACAGCCTGTGTGCAATTGCTCCCTGCGATCAGGTGCATGGCACTTCCCTGGTTTTTTTTTCGTCCTCTCCCTTTCTGCAGCACCGCTGCAGGGCCAAAGGGCTGCTGCAGAGAGCAAATACCAGAGAACCAAGTGCACAATGAAATGAGAGCAAGGACAGCTTTCCCTTCGAGGAGCTTTCTACAGCAGCATTCTTCTCTTAACTGCTTCACAAGTGGCTGCTGGCAGCCTCCCAGACAAACGTGTCCACTGCACCGCAGCTGAGCTTTACCACTTAAGTTCCCTTGCATCAGCTGAGCCTCCTGGGTGCTAACTCCAAGCACACATGGGACAAGACATGCTCTTGTAAGCTTTCTCACCATGGTTTGCCTTCCCTTGTGCTTGGAGGGAGCAGCACGCACACTGTTAGCCCAGCTGCTAAGCCTGCAGCCCAGACAAGCTGGAGTTCACACCACTAGGACCCATGGTTTGCCTCTCACACCAGTTTCCCTCCAGCCCAGGACATCCCCCAACCCTCGCAGGGCTGTAGCAGGACCCTGCCAGCTCCACATCATAAGGAGCAGGCCAAGGAGTGCTGCAAAGCTGCACAGAAAACAGAGGAGATGCTCCTGCAGACCTACAGCTTCCTCGCCTTCACTCCTGGCCACACGTCAGGGATGCTCAGTCTCAACCCCCCAAAAAGCAGCACACAGAGGTTGCAAAACCTCTATTCCTGCTCAATCCCAGCTGTTGCATGGTTCAGCTGAGCCCACAAACCTGCCAGGGAGCAGCACTGCCAGCCCCTGATTGCAGCAAGGAGTTCATCGCATCCTCCCGGTAAATTAGGATGTTCTGGAGGACAGACGAGTAATTGATTGCTAAGTAACCTGCAGAGACATGAAACTGCTCAGCAGTTATCTAGTACTCACTAAGCAACACAAAAAGGTTATTGATGCAGTTGGGGAGTGTTTCTGTACGCCGTGCGCTCCCGTAACTCCTGACATCCGAGGCAGAGAAACGCATCACTTAGCATTTACAAGCAGCAAGCGATTCTTATTACAAAAACCAGCCTCCTGGCAAGGAGCCTCGCTGAGAGCCTGCAGACACCAGTGGGAAGGGAGCGTTTACAAGGAAACCCTTTTTGTCCACCTGAAAGTGAAATTGAGGAGCCACATCTCACAAAGCTCACACGTGGTCTGTGCCAGTGCGATGACCCTCTGAAATCACTGAGGGACACTGGTATTGAGTGGAAAGATTTATTTGGTCCTAACACGGTCCCCCAACGCTGAAAGCCTCCTCCTGGCTCCATCAGCTTGTCTGGAATTACTCACCTGGCAGGAGGCTTGGCCCCAGGGAGCTCCGTGCTTCAGAAATTGTTCTCTATGGAAGAGATTTGGTGTTTTCTTCCTCCCTGCTTCGCCTCCACAAGAATCTGAAACACCTTCTGTGATTTGATTGCCTAGAATTAAAGTTGCATCAATAGGATTTCAGTCTGGGAGCAGATTTCCCCACACACACACACAGTGTGCAAACAGCATGCTGCGACCTGGCAGCTTCATTTCCCCAGGGAATTTTATTCTAGGGGGGTTGCTTTGTGGCTGCCTGGGATTTGGGGTCCAAATCAGGTATAAAGGGAGATGAATCAGGTCCTAATGATTTAGTTTTGCTGCTCTTTTGGTTATTTCTGGCCCACATACTAAAACTATCCCCACCTTCATTTGCTTTTAGCCAAATGCCCGTTACATCCATGCCCACAGGGTGCAGATGAGGAGGGTCGAGCAGCTTGAAACCTCAATCCGCAGCAATGCCTTTGGGTGTATTTTTGTTTGGCATTTCACTACACACCGTTTCCTACTGAGGCTCGCCTCGCTTATGCAACTTTCATTTGCTCCATCTCATGCTGCAACTCAACCAGGATCACGCTTTCAAAAACTGAATTAGTCATTAGCAGGTATTTGGCTACACAAATTGCGATGCCCTAGTCAGGCAGGCACAAGCTGCAAAAATGAGCTGTAATGGATGATTTTCATTCAAAGCCGTGGAGTCAAGTTTGGCTACACTCAAACCCAGCCTCCTGCTTTTCCCTTTTTTTCCCCCCCCCAAGTATAATTGATGGTATCAAGCTCGTAATCTGCTATCTTGGTTGACCTGAAGAGCATTCATCGAAAGGTGCCAGCTCTGTGCAATCACCCTGGAATACATTGTGCCAGAAGACAGATTTCATGCCTTTTTTTAAAAAAAAATCTAAACAATGAACACTGTACCAAATATTAAAACATTTTTCTAAAACATGGTATTAACATGGAGATGAGTCATTTCTCTGTCATAACACCAGTGGGGAAGGGGAGCCGGAGTGAACAAAGCAAATTCATTCAGCAGCAATTTGCACTCCATAACCCTCCGATGATTAGCCTTTTAGGCCAGACGAGCTCCGCTACTTAAGCAGAAGAGGTGACACATTTTGCTGTTGCTTAGAGATATTGGAATATATTGCACAGAGCCTGCTCCCCGGCGAGCATCCCCAAAGAGCTCTGTGCTGGCTTTCTGCGGATGCATTAACCCCGTTGCAATGCCTGGGTTTGTGGCCACACAGCTCTCAAAGCAAGACCTGGAGTGACAGAGGGTGACCTCCCAGAAGTGATATTTTAGGTGTTTAAAAAAAAAAAGTCAAGGCAGCAACTTGTACTACCTGAAAGTGGCTCAGAGGCACCGAGGGCCATTAGCAGCTCTGCAATAAGTGGTTTAATAACAAGTAAATGAGGTACAGTTCCTGCACGGGGTGCTGGTGTGCAGTGCGATACCAGCACGTGTGTCCTGCAGAACCCCAGGGCTGCCAGCAGCAGGGCACCAGAAGGTGCCTCGTGGATGAAAAGCCAGGAGAAGAACAGCAAAACTCTGCCTGATCACACCCACTTCTTTTCCAGCCATCGCTTAGGGCAGTTAATCTGCTTTTATTTCTCCTTCTGAAGTCATATTCAGGTCCTTTTAAAATAGGATTGCTCCTTATGCCTTGCTCACTACCTCTGCAAACCAAAAATCTGTGCTGCAGAACCCCCAGATATCCACATTGTGCATATCTGCTCTGACAGCTGGGAGGAAAACCTAATCCTGTTAACATTTCAGTGGTAATTGATAGGTTCAAGGGTTAACAGCATTCCAAGATGACTGTGAAAGCAAGCAATTAGCTGTCCCCTGGAGCACCCCAGAACAAGGCACCGTCACACGTTGTTTTTTTTACCTCGATGTTTTTTTTACCTCGTGGGTACAGGTCCTGAAGCCAGCTTGCACGAAAGCCATGACTCACATGGGCTGATGGAAGAAACCTGAGATACGGAACAGCGAGAGCTCAAAGCCCAGAAGATAACCCCCGTCCTGCAGAAGATTTGGGGTTTATTAAGAGCTGTGAAGAAGCTCCTGGCCATGGCAGCCCCACGGGAAGGAACAGGCAGCTCCAGCCACCCACCACCTCCCATTTCTAAGCCTTTTATCCCCCCTCACCGCTGGCCCGAGCAAATTACTCACACAGCATTTATCTTAACCGCTCCCCTGCAGAGGCAGCTATGGAGCAGTTATTGATATATCACTCACCTGACAAGAACAGGCCATTTATAGGACTCATTACTCCTTTTCTTTTTTTTCAAAGCACCTCCAATAGCACTTTGCCTTCGCTCCAGCTTGCGGCAGGCTGGATCCATCACGATCTGTATTCACCATTCAGAGGCACTTTCCTGACCCCCAGCTCACCGATTTCCCAATGAAGATGCCTGCTCCATCCCCCAGCAAAACCAGCACCCTCCACATGGCTCCCAGGGATGTCCCACGAGGTGGGCACCATCACCCACCCAAGCCAACTTGTTTGCTTTGGCCCAGAAGGGATGGGAAGCTGCTGCAGATGTCCTGGCTCATGGTCAAAGGCAGAAACACCCAGCACATGGGTGATAAATAAACCTGGGTTTATCCTTTCCAGCTCACTCCACCACTCACTGACTGCTCCTTTGCCAAGCCAGTGCCACACAGAGGAGGAGCAGGAGGTTACTGGGGGTAACGGTGCCCAAACCCCACAAACACCCAGGCAGGGACCAGTGCAGCTCAGGACAAGCAGCTCCAAGGCGTCCTGCCATAAATAACCTCACTCTGTCTTGGCTCACCAGAAACCATCCCTTACAGACGGTTTGACACAGCCGGTTTAGGGGTATTAACCTGCAGCGCCACAGCATCTCGAATAAATATCCAAATAAATCACCCTAATAACCAGCGTCTGCAAGACAGTCAGCAGAGAACATTTTGTTTTGGTGTGCAATCAATACGCTGCTCATTTGTGTCCTGGAGATGAACTTGACTCTTTGAAAGCAGCTGGAGCCCAGTGGAGCAGGATCCTGTCCCCAACAGTCCCTAGAGGGGAGTCGAATCCATCTTACCAGGTCGGGAACAGCCCCGGGACTCCTGGTGGCTACAAGAGCTCCAGTTTCACCCCAGGGACTGCTGCTGGGCAAAAGCTGAGCCCAGCACTTCACAAATCCTCCTTCCAGAGCTGGGAAGTGAAACTGTCCCTTCAGGTGTCCAGGAAAGCAGGAGCGACCCAAATCCACAGCTGCTCTGTGTGACTACACCCTCCCTGCAAGCCCCATCTTTTCAGACACTTTCTTCATCATTTCTTCATCACTTTCCCTTTGTAATATTGACCCCAGCTGCTTGCTATCAACATGGGTTTCAGGAGTTAAAACCATCTCCATCCCATGGATCTGGCAGGGCAGAAACCTTGTCCCTCTTGCACCATGCTGGTGACAGGGCTCCTTGCACAAGGCCACGTGCAAATAGCTCAGAGGGAAGATGCAGGAACTTTTCCTGCATCCTTTGTAGCAGGAACTTGAAATTGGTGCTCGGTTTCAGGGCTTCATGCACAAGCCAATTCCAAGGTAAGAGTGAGGGGAGTGAAAGGATGGCCCCTCAGATCTCCCAGATCCCTGTGTTTTATGCTGGAAAATAGAAGGATTTTTATTGCAAACAATCTTTTGCAGTCTGAGGAACAGATCAGGATCACAACACTTCTCCCTTTCAACAGCAACAAGCCATACCTCTGTCCTCACACCTCTCTGCATCACCTTAAAGTACAATTTGCAAGAAAGGAGGAAATTTCACCGGCCTCTTCCCTCCGGGGGATGTGGTCTGTGCGCAAGGGACACCCTGACCGTGCAAACTGCTCACTGTGCAAACAGCTGCTCTAAGGTCAGACGGATAGCACGCACAAGATCCTCCGTATGGATTTTGCTTTGAAAGGCTTGTTCAGGCTGCCAGCCTCTTTTCTGGGAATTAATTTGGAGGCAAACAAGTCACGCCCTGTAAGAGGAGACGGTGACACTGGCAGAGCTGCGTCAGCTCCTCCACTCCCCTCCGTCTCCCGGCACTAATGGGGCTCCCCCTTGTCTTCACCCAGAGAGAATTATTCCTCAAAGCATTGGAGATGAAGTGAGCCATAACTCGTAAGGCAGCAGCAGGTGCTCTCTAATGAGGGCATCACAAGGAAGATCAAGGTCAGAGCCCAAGGAGTGGGACCAGGCTCACCCAAGCTCATCTCCAGGACAAGCTCATCCCCCAGGATCCCAAAGCGGCCTCGCAGTGTGGGTAGATCCAGCCCCCAGGTGACATTCCCACAGTGACAGCCTCATCTGAACATCAGCTGAACCCAAAGGAGCCCTGGGCATCCAGCCCTTACCTGCCTGCGCACGCTGAGCTCGGATCTGGGCAAGTTTCTGACAAGCTCAGGTTCCTCCTGTTAGAAAACATTTTTCCCCAGAGAACCTCTGTGCAAACAGCAAATTTGACATTTCATTCTCCTGAAATTTTCTGTCTTCCAGGATTTATTTTTCTTTGACAATGACAACCGATTCCCCAAAATTACCTTCCTGCTGCAGACCCATCCAAACCCAGCTTTCCTTACAAACTGCTTACAAAAACTTCCCCAAGAGAACTCGAGGGCAGCTCTTGGGATCTGTGATCTGAAGGAACACCCCCATCATTGCTATGGATAACCTGTGGGCAAACTTCATTTTGTTTAATTTCACCAAGGTCTGATGGCTGAGGGGATTTGGGTAGAGACACAGAAACACCAGGCAAGGTAAAAAAAATATAAATAATAAATCAGTCTGGTGAAAAGTCAGTTATACCCCTGGCCTTTAAGGAGGGACTTCTGAATGCAAAGTGTTTTGTTCATCCCAGTTACCGGTGCACAGAAGTCTTGCCAGAAGAGGAAAAACACCCCCAGAAAAAGGAACAAAGTTAAATGCAGCCTTGGCTGCAGGGCTCGTTGAACCAGTGACTGTCTGGTTCAGGAACAACACCGCACGCTGGCAGGCAGAGCCCTGCTGGATGCCCACATTTCCTCTCCCCTGCTTCTAAAACAAAGGTCAGGCAGCCTCCAGCTGGGTGCTGCATGTAAAAGGCTAAAGGGAAACTAAAATCACCCTTGATTTCCCTTTTTTCTCTTTACAGGGACATGAAAAGGAAGGGATCTTATGCTGTGCCTGGCTTTGTGATTTAACCTGAGTGTGTTTCTGCCGGGCTTTGCAGGACCCCTGCACCTCACCGAGCACATCCCAGGATTTAGCTGCTTTTCCAAGAGATGGACCCAGCTGGGGAAAGTCAGCTGAGCTCCCCCAGAGCAGCTGAAGCCAGCAGGGATCTGGCAAGGTATGTCTGTTTATTTGTTCATTACGAGCTCTGTAATGGTGTGTACCCTCCTCCCACTCCCTCCCTCCACACACATTTGTGCATCTTCCCTGGTTAAAAACAGCCGGTGCTCCCTGGTGAAACATTTTAACACACACACCAGCACTTCACACATCCCTCACTCCACCAGCCACAGCGTGACAGCCCCGGCTGCTGCCCGTGCACCCCAAAAACCTCTCCCCCATCCCCAAAAAGAGCCACCCTGGCGCAACAGCTGCTTGCCAGCATCTCCCCTCCTTCCTTCTTTAAACCACCCAGCGCGGACAGAACTTTCTCCCCCTCCTTTTCCCTGGTGAGAAGGAGTGCTAATTACCCCGACGTGCGATGCACACACACAGGCACCATGTTGATATGATTGCAAGGACTGGTAACGTCAGCATCCCGGGGACCCTCCTCCAGCTTGGAGCAGAGGGAAGAGGCTCAGCCGTGCGGAGCAGCAGGTGCCGGAGGCAGCCGGAGCCACTCGCCAGGTAAGGGGCACTCCAAGCCCAATCTCTTCGCCATGCCCACCAGGAGCAGAGCCAGGCGCTTCTCCCTGCAGAGCCTGGGGACCAGTTGCCAAACCTTTGATCCTGGCAGGGGGTCGGCTCTTTGCTCGCTTCCCTGCGGAGGAATTTTCGGAAGCGTGGGTCAGGCGATAGCGGTGGAGGTGTAAACAGGCAGGGGGGGTTCTTGCTTTGAGTCTAAAGCAGATTTGCTCTCAGGGTACTCCCCCCCCACCCCCCTTTTTCAGTCTGGGTAGCCCTGAACTTTGGAGATTCACAGGTTTGTCTGTCCGTGCCAAGTTTTGTGTGCTGCCACAAATGCATGCAGTGAGCATGGTCTGATATCATAACCTAGGCTTGATTTTAAAAGTTACTTTAAACGTGGGTTAAGCCTCTCTAAGTTTGGGAAATATTCCTTCAACTCTATTTTTTTCCCCTTCCTTCTCTTGCTAGGGGACCCCTGGTGTGAGGAGCAGCCACGCCAGAAACTCCCTCCCTCTGTGTGATCTCAGCTGGAGAAACATGTTTGAAGTCCCCAGCACAAAGAAAGGCACTAATTAAATACAACAACGCTTCTGCTCTGACATGGAAAAGAAAGCCCTGCAAGTGGGAGAGCAGCCAGCCCTCAAGTCCTCCGAGGGCTGAGAGAAGCCGGCCAAGCACAAAGCTCCCTCCCTGCCCTCCTCACTCCTGCAAGCCCCAGGACCTGAGCTGGGGATGGCTGAACGGGAGCCACTTCACCTCCCCAGCAGAGAAAAGCCACAGCTCACCTGCACAGCCTCCAAGAGAGGAGTTGTTCGACTTGCATAGGGAGATACAAGCCTTATTCGCTTTGTTCATGGAGCCCTCTGCATCATTCAATTTTTTTTTCCCCTGCTCACTTCAAAAAATCTGACTTCTCCCATGGTGGCAGACAGAGGTAAGTGAGGTTTACCCATGCTGCCTCGACTCACTTCTTGGAAATAATCTGATGATAGAGCAGCTTTTTAGCTACACAGGATAAAAAGCTCTCCCTCCTGGGCTAGCAAGGCTTTCAGTGACTTCGGAGGGCAGCCTGTGACCAGCAGGCATGGGGAACAGCTCTCTCTGGGATGGTTTGAACAGCACCTGCAGCAGTGAAGGCAACAGCTGCTACCTGGACAGCAGCATGAGGTTCAACTTCTCCTTCCAAGAGCAAGCAGCCGATTTCTATGTTGTCCTCCCTGTGATTTACTCCGTGATTTGTGCTGTTGGGCTCACAGGCAACACCGCTGTCATCTACGTGATCCTCAAGGCTCCAAAGATGAAGACTGTGACAAACATGTTCATCCTGAACCTTGCCATAGCTGATGACTTGTTCACACTTGTCCTGCCCATTAATATTGCTGAGCACCTCCTGCACTACTGGCCCTTTGGAGAAGTCCTCTGCAAGGTCATCTTGTCCATAGACCACTACAACATCTTCTCCAGCATTTATTTCTTAACAGTCATGAGCATAGACCGCTATCTGGTCGTACTGGCCACAGTCAAGTCCAAGAGGATGCCACATCGTACGTACCGAGCAGCCAGGATCGTCAGTTTGTGCATCTGGATCCTCGTCACCATCATAGTTCTCCCCTTCATCATCTTCGCTAACGTCTACGTGGACGACCTGGAGATCAAGAGTTGTGGTCTCAATTTCCCCAAGCCCGAAAGGTTTTGGTTCAAAGCCAGCAGGATCTATACCCTCATCCTTGGCTTCGCCATCCCAGTATCCACCATCTGCATCCTCTACACCATGATGCTGTACAAGCTGAGGAACATGCACTTGAACTCTAACGCTAAAGCCCTGGACAAAGCCAAGAAGAAAGTCACTATCATGGTCTTCATCGTCCTGGCCGTGTGCCTCTTCTGCTGGACCCCCTTCCACTTGGCCACCATCGTGGCTTTGACCACTGACTTGCCCCAGACCTCCGTGGTCATTGGCATATCCTACTTCATCACCAGCCTAAGCTATGCCAACTCCTGCTTGAATCCCTTCTTGTACGCCTTCCTGGATGACAGCTTTCGGAAAAGTTTCCGGAAGATGCTGGAATGCAGAACTTCTTAAGCACGGGGCGGGGACAACTTTGCAAACTTCAGGGAACACTTACTGAATGCACAACCCTTCTCTTTAGTTTACACGTGATGTATGTGTATGTCTGTCATCATTCCCACATTTTGTCCTGCTTACCTGCAAGTCTTGCATTTTCCCCAAACATCTCAGCATCGCAACGGTCTTATTTTTAATCACACCCCCCAAAGCACTAAGGACAGAACTTCCCTGTTAACGGTTTGCTTCTGCTCCATGGCAGTCCTTTATTGCCATCTGCTGTACAGCACGGAGAAGCTGAAGAGCAGCTCTCAGATTTAGGGGTTGTTCAGTTCTCAATTATCTGGGGGATGGTTTGATGCAGCAGAGTCAACACACACTGTGTCATAACAAAACAGAGGATGCAAGATGAGTATTTGCAAGAGTATTTTGTGTCCATGTGTGCACAGGTGTTATGGCCTTGGTTTTGACTGAGGGATGTCTCTTACACACCCACAGCCAGATTTCTTCTTTCCTGAACTGGCAACACAAGTTAAATTTAAACCAAAAAGCAAAACCTGTGTCTTAAAGTTGATATCCAGCACCACATAAATATTTCAGCAACTGTAGTAATTTGTGTTAGAAGTTATTTTTAACTAACTGTTTCTGTTAAATGTCAAATATATATTTATTTAAGAGTGACTGATGGAATAAACTTCATGGCGGAAAAAATGGTCCTTCTTTCTCTGAAGAAACCCTGTGCTACTTGTCCCACATCATTGCAAGATGTATTGCATTTTACCTGCTGTAAAATGAGAAGTCATCAATTTGTAATGAATCAGGTGTTTTGTAAGCCACAAACAAATCAGGTGTTTTGCTGCCCTCACCATGGCTTTCCCCCAACCAGCTCAAAGCCCAGGTGAATCTCTCTCCATATAATATCAAATACCTATAAATAGGTACTTCACTTGCCCCCAAATACCTCTAGTCTCTTAGCTACGCTTCTAGACCCACACACTAGCTTACAGAAAAGTTTTTATGCACATTTGTGCAGTGTTTCAGTGTTTCCCCCTGCTTAAAGGTCAGGGAGGGGACCCACAGGACCACGGTACACCAGGAGCAGCAGCGTAGCCACCAGAGCACCTGGTTAAGTGTGAGTGGAAATTTCCAGCCAAAGCAATACTGAAAACCCACTGCACTCATCACCACCCTAAAAAAACACCTGATACCAGCCCTTATGCTAGGGCAGCAGGCCCAGCACTCACTGTCCTGGAGGGCTGCAGGAAGGGGTCTGCCTGGGGCAAGCTTGGTCCCCTATCCTTTAACCTCCCTAGGAAACTATACTAACTGGCTTAAAATTTGCAAAATAAGTTTTCCTCAAAAAAAAAAACTTGTGTCTCATTTACAACGAGACACACTTAAGCTTTCTCTCCCCAGTTTTTCTTCACTTTCCCTTCTTCAGCTTGGGACAGGGAAAGCTCCCTGGCCCTAAATGCACCAAGTTGGGTTCTGAGCTGTCTGCACCCCACCAGGGAGGGGCAGAAAGGATAAAGCAAAAGAACAGGGGGCAGAGACAAGCTGCAACACACCTACCTGAGCCCATCCACGGGACAAGATACCAAGAACATCGGTTCTCCCAGAAAACAAGGACGAAGAGGAGGCTGCACCCCAAGGTCCATCCAGGAGACCATGCCAGGAGGGGAGGGCTCTGGTGGCAGCACCCAGCTTAAAAAGGCTCCTGGAGAGGGTGGGGGCTTGGGGCAGCCCCCAGGTGAGGCTGCTCAGGGTGATTCAGGCCTGTCAGCGCCCTCAGGGCTCTGGCACCAAAATTAGCAGCCTTTGGTACATCACAAAGGCAATTCCATATTTCCCTTGTAGAAAACCAGAAGAGATTTGTGAACATGAAGTCATTTCTGTTGCCTTCTCCATATTAAAAGTGTTCATTTTGGAAAAATTTAGAGGGTTGGGGCGATGCAGGTGGCTGATTGTGGGCAAAAAGCTGGGGGCCGTGTCCCGACTACCTCCCGAGGGCAGGAGGTGGGTGCTGGCAGCAGCAGGGTGCTGGGATGCCCCAAAGCCCCCTCAGAGCAGAGAGTGGGCACCACAAGCACCTGGGCTGTGACAGGCACCCACCTCTTCAGCACGGCTGCCATCTGCTGGCTACAGGCTCCAGAGGGGGGAAAAAAAAACTGGGGGTCCCCAAAATTGGCTCCTGGGGTGCCACCGAGCTCCTGGATTGTCTGCTTAGGTCCATCGCCACTGCTCGTCGGCGTCAGGTCTGCAGGAAGGGCAGCAAAGCCTCTCTCCAGCTGAAATCACACTCGTTCAGACCTGAGCATCATTGATGGAGTTTTTCCCTTTTAATCCTGTGCCACGACCGCCACGGAATCAGCGTGGGCACCTCTGGAGCCTGACACCCCCTGCTCAAGCAGCCCCTGCTGCAGTTTGCCCTGACCATGTCCACTCCAGTTTTAAAGATCTCCAAGCACGAAGAAACTACAGCCTTGCTGGGTATTGCACCACCCTTACAAAAGTGATTTTTGTGGTTTTTTTTTTTATTTTTTTTCCTATTTTTGAATAGAATTTCCTGTATTTCAGTCTGCACCTTAGCCTCCTGTCTGAGCACCGCCAAGAAAGGTGTGATCCCATCTTCTCCACATCCTCAGCAGATATTTGGCTGAGTGGTCCCAGCGGTCCCACGCTGTTGTCAGCATCCTGCCTGCAGCCCTGCTTTTCTCCGTGCACTCAAGAACAGAGCCTCAGCTCCCCTTTTCCTCCATGGGATGCCCCAGGGGAGGAAGAGGTTTCTCTGGCCGAGGTCTCCCCCAGAGAGGGGACACTTTAGAGGATGTCCTGCTGCCACGGGTGCAGGAGATGGTGATGTGCGTGCCAAAAGGCACCCTGTGCTGCAGCAGCCCCGCGGCACTAAGCGGCACTCTCCGCTTCTTTTTGCAGCTCTGGCAGCTCCGCAGCATTGCTGGGCTGCACGCAGGGGAGCTGCCTGCGAGGCTGAGTGCTCGGGCAGAGCCTCTGAGCACGCACCCAGGGCCTGGCTGCTGCTGCTGCTGGGAGAGCAGAAATCAGGGCGGAGGGGACCCTTCCCTGCTCTTTGCACGAGTTCACCCCGCAGGAAACCCAAATTCATCCGGTTCAATCGCATCAGGCTGGTTTGCTGCAGACAAGCTTCGCTGTGCTTTGAACACTGGAAGCAGGGAAATAAATGCCCTTAAAAAGTCACCTAATAAATCTCCTGCTATCGCTCTGCAAACCCAAGCATCCCTACCAGGGTCCCCAGGATCTCAGGGGGCTCCACCAGCGACCCTCCCTCCCTTCCAGCCCCTTCCAGCTGGCCGTGCATCAAGCAGGGAAACCAGCTCAGCCCCAAAACCGAAGATGAGCTTCCTTCTGGGGTGCCTGAATGAGTGCAAAGGTGCTGGGCAACCTCACAGCTCCCAGGCTATGGCAGGAGCTGGGGGCTTTCGGCTGGGGGCTGCAGCAGGTGGGGGAAATCAGGGGATCCTGCGTGTCCCCCACCAGGAAGGACATCAGGACATCACCTGCCCCTTGGGGACTGGGGGACTGTGCTTCGTCAGCCTCAGGAGATGGAAAAAGAGCCATTTTCCACCCCAGGAACAGGAATTGGGGCTCATATTCCCAGCACAGACATTAAATGCAGGCACCTGAGACACGGAGCGGGGATCGGAAATCGCTATTGCTTTTAAGCCTTCGTGCTGCAGCAAGAAATTCTGCTTGTTTCGGTCAGTTGTGCCCACTGGAGTTGTGCTGTAGCTCGATCCCCCACGAAGCTGTAATCCCCTGGTACCTGAGCAGTCTCGCGCCGTCTCCTGCTGCCGGTCACGATTTTGGGTGAGAAATGA